TAATATTGTGCTACGTATGGCAAAACTCACTGACGATGCCGGCTAAACGTCTGGGAATGTGCCTCTTCCACGGTCCCTCTTTGGAAATGATTATGCATACAATGGACTCCGGAAAAGATGTGTTCCTCTAAGTCTTCCTACTAATATCATCAAGTTGCGAAAACAAGGTCAAACAACTTCTTAAAAATGAAAAGTTGTAATCATTAGGGAAAATGGCTAGTTTGATGAGGTGACACTCGGTTTGCCACAAAAGGGCACACATTTTGACGATTGGAATGTAAACAAGTGAGAAGTTGTGATAGGGCGGCAGTGGGATAAGAGGGTAAAGAGTAGATAGATTGGCCAGGACAGAAAGAGGAGTGATAATGTAACCATTCGTAGCTTGGCGCGGAGTATGGCAAAACTGACTGATAGTGACAAAAGAGCAATGATACTGTAATCGTTTTCGGCAGAACGGTTGTCTAGCCATTGACTTCACATGTCTATTTAACGAGTTCGTAGCTTGGTGCGGAGAATGGCAATGCCCACTGATGCCGGCGAAACGTTTGAGAATGTATCAAGTCCACTGTCAGATGCTGGGAATCATGATAACTACTATGGCAGATGACTTCGGACTAGCTGCGTTTTACATACTCGCCCTTACAACAAGACCAAGTTGTGTGAACGAGGTCAGCCTACTTCTTTAAATCGAAAAGAGACTGCGACCCTAACAGAGGCTACAACATCCTTGTCTTCATATATTCAAAAAAAATTAGGTTCATGATCTTGTTTTCACAACTTAGTCATATTGTCAGAAAGGCCTAGAAGGATGCACATTTTGCCAGTTGTCGTGTGGTGCTTACAATGGCAGGTCTCACTGACGATGGCAACGAGATGTCTTGGAATGTACCAAGAACACAGTCCGACTCTAGAAATTATTATGCATACTATGACCTCCTGACACGATGTGTTTCTCTACGTATTCTGCCAATTTGACCAAAATTTTGAATACAGGTCAAAGAACTACTATACAACAAGGGTGACGATGACTATAGTGGAGGCCAAATCATCTTGATATTCCTAGCTTTACTTAAAGAATAAGATGCTAATTTTTCCTGCATACATTTAAGAAATTCGATATTTTACTTTAATAGTTCACAATTTAGCATAATTGACGTATCATTAAATTATTTCGGATAGAGCATTATTGGCAGGTCTGACTAGAGACTTTGTATATGCCAAATTTCCAATTTATGGGGCTACTCAAGCTCCTGCAGTCTAAAGAGGCAGTCGGAGTTCATTTAAGAATTAAGTCTTGGCAAAGCAAAAGATTAAAAACTGCTTAACTCGTCCATGTATAGCGCTTACTTCATCTCCAAACCAACAAGATATGATTTTGGTAAATAATAATATAAACGTATATGAACCGCCGTTTGGAGAATCAACATTAAAACATCTCATTGGTTTATTATTATTCTATCGTTAAGCTTGCTGTTTTCCCTTGAATTTCATTAAAAATGACAAATGCTTCACGCCTAGATTCACATTAATTCTGCATTTTTGATCGTGTAAGGAAATAGACTTGACTATACGGCTTAGTGATTTTATTATCTTCAAGCGTCATATTTAATCCATTCGGTCTACAAATGCATTTAATTCGTATCATGTCAATATATTTCATGAATTCGAAATCACACTTGTGCATGGTAACGACTCGTTAGTCTTACGCAAATCAATTTTTAATTTGTGTGACTTCGAATAACCTGCCATACATGTTCTTTCTTAGATTATACATGTATAATCACGCTAGATCATTTATTTTAGCTGATATTAATCAAACTACTGACTGGCCTAAATAATATACTATTCATATTATCCGATGTATGAACAGATTAAGCTGCAAGAAGATCGGAAGGAACGTCGTCGTAAGATAAAAGAATCAGATGATAACAAGGCACGCGAGCAAGCTAAGCGAAAACACAAGAAAGATAAGAGTAAACAGAAAAAGAAGAGCAAAAAGCGTCGTCATTCTTCTCCAGCGGAATATGATTCTTCCACTTTATCTTGCTCTCCAGCATCAGAATCTAATTTAAGTGACTCAGACGACGACCTTATAGACGCATTTGCCAAGATTGTCCAACAACAGTCAGTTGAGGAGCCTAGACTTTTACCATCTGATTCGAATCCGACCGAATCTGAAAACTCAATTAAACCTGTCAAAGCAGGTTCACCCTATCAAATAAACAAGCCAGTGGATGATAAGCATATAAAATGCATTCAGGATCACTCCCTGCCCTATCAGCGCCAGAGTCCATTGGATGACTCGCGATCTCGCCGTCCAGAGCCAGGTCGAGCCTTTCACAACTCATCCCAGGGTGCTTCGAGGCCTTTACCCCCATATCGCAACCGTCGTATGGATGGTGAATCGCAAGGCTACAGAAACCCAGAGCGGTTTGGCCCGGCTGGACACCGTTATCCTCCTGCACCTCATTCACACAATTACAAGCAGCAGCCAAGACTTAGTCGCGAAGAGCTAGAGGAGCGGCGTGCCAAAATGGCGCGTGATGGGGCGGTCCGCGAGTTAGAACTTGCGGAACGCTCTGCAAAGTATGTTGAGGCGGCACGCTTTCAAGAGGCTAAAGACCATGGTGACCAGATGAATCGAGGCGCCGGCTTTCTGGCACAGATGAAACTAGACCACGTGGCCTCGAGTTCAGTGCAAGAGGGTATTCAGCGCAAAGCAGCGACGAGGCAAAGTTCGAAGACAGATACAGAAGCCAAATTCTTAGACCGCTAAAATTGTCTCACTCCTTTACATAATACATGTATATATCTGCATTATATATAAACGAAGAAGGTTTTCTGATTTTTTGTCTAACAGTACGTTTTGAATAAGAATTCGATCGACTTAAGGTCGCTTAAATTGTTTTAAAGACTTATAGTAGCATTTTCCTACAATGTAACTAGTTTTCACGATGGTGTTTAATTTTACCTAACCTTGTACACCAAAGATTTTATCATTTAGAGCAGACTGCGATTTCGACTGGTTTTTAGAATTCATAGGTATATTTTGAAACAAAACAGCAATTCCTGGTCCTGCTAGACTATTCACAAGATTTGGGATAGTTGTAGTGTTTCTTCTTTGACTGTGACCACATCTGCATAGTGATCTGATTTCCCTGATAAAGAGCGATTGGATAGAGATAGAGAGATTGAATAATATTTGACAAGGCATGATCCACGGATAAAAAGCGCTTCTTACTAGATGTGAACAGACAGCAATTAGTAATTAATGTTATATTTAAGATGAAGGTGTAGCTATTTTAAGGTAGGCTTCATGTGGAGTGTGTTGATAACTAGGCAAAAATCGTAGCTGCCTTAAGATTTATACCGATAGGTATAAAATCTGGCTTTGCTAGTCTGGCAGTCTAAATACTTCTTTGGTTAGCATTTTCGTATATAAAGGTTTACCTTGTTAAGCTTACAAAGGGTCACATCAAATTGAGTCTTAAAAACTCGCAAGACCAAGGTGTGGCCTTTTGTGTGGTCGCAGTCTCCTTTAGTTGCATAGAAGTCGTTTGACCTTGTTTCCGCAACCTGATCATATTGGTAAGAAGATTTAGAGGAACCTATCTATTCTAAAGTCCATTGCATGTATTATAATTTTCAGTCGAACCGTGGACGTGGTGCATTCACACAAGTCTGGTACTGCTTGATTTGACTATGTTTTATGTTGAACCACAACGTTTGTGAGTTGGCACACCAGGATATAGCAAGTTATAGACTTGGTATTACGGATAGATTCGACGGAGACTAGAGCTAGGTGACTAATAGTACGCCTGTTTTACTATAGACGTGGCCCATGTAGCAAAGGCTTGACCATGAGGCTTTAGACTCGAATTAGTCACCCAAACGCAGATAGCTAATAACACTTCGTGGAACACAGATGAGGTAATAGGGGTCGAGTGAAATACTTGAATCAGGGAGATAGCAAACGGAACCTACGGGGCAAGAGTAAGACTCTGATAAGACCTATGGAAGGACTGCATAACGATATGGAAGACTGATCAACATTCCCAACACATGGATTAAGGGGGGTGAGAGCGCCAGCATGGAGCGTGGGGGGTTCTAATAAAAGCCGATCGAAAGGGCATCACACGATTTAAATAAGAAAGGAAAAAATATGGTGATAGTGAAGACGTGATACGAGGATATAGTAAAGGTGAATAGCCCATGACAGAATGAAATATACCACAACTGTTTAGCACACATTTGGTCCAAGGATTGGCTTCACTTGTCTTTTGAAGAGTTGTGGTCTAGTGCTAAGAATGGCAAGACTTTCGATGCCGGCCAAACGTCTGTGAATGTACCACGTTCAGGGTCCGACTGGAAATTATCATACATACAATGGACTCCGGACTAGGTGTGTTCCTCTAAGTCTTCCTACCAATATGACCAAGTTGAGAAAACAAAGTCAGACAACTACTAAATATTATAGTGAATTCTGAGGAGACTAGGGGACAGCAAGAATAGCAAAAAGAAGACAAATAGGTCAAGGAAGTATGCTGCGCACGACGAAGAGAAATCACAAAGAAGAGAACACGAAAAAACAATCATAAATCTAGAGAGAAACATGCAATGAGCCTAATCAAGGCAGGTAAGCAACTACAACATTTGAAAGTTGATATAAAGACTAGTAATTGGGAAAATCAAAGACTTTATTATAGTTAATCTTCTATCCAGGTTTTGCGAGTGGAGTATACATGCTATCAAAGGCTTGATACAGTGCGTAGAACATAACACCTCGGGTTCACAGTTATGGTGTCAGTGATAGTGAAATCACTGAACTAGGGAGACGGATCTTGCTAAGCAAGTAAGCGACTATTA